CCCCCGCGCCGCGCGCGGCGCCAGCCGGCCCGGCGCTCGCGGGGCATGGTGGCGGCGGCCAGGGCGCTCAGCTTCGTGCTCAGCACGCCGCAGTACTTCATCTTCTCGCTCAGCGAGGTGCGCAGCGGCGTCTACGACTGCTGGGCGCACTTCATCACGCCCTGGGGGTCCCGCGCCTACGTCACCTGGATCACGGGCGGCATCTTCGTGGCCCCCGTGCTGGTCCTGGCCACCTGCTACGGCTTCATCTGCTCCCGCATCTGGAGCAACGTGCGGGGCAAGACGCGGCCGCCGGGGCCCGGGGCGAGGGCGGGCGCGGGGGTGGGCTTCCCCTGCGTCAGCAGCGTCAAGAGCATCTCGCGGGCCAAGATCCGCACGGTGAAGATGACCTTCGTCATCGTGTCAGCTTACGTGGTGTGCTGGGCGCCCTTCTTCACCATCCAGATGTGGTCCGTCTGGGACCAGCACTTCGAATGGGTCGGTAGGTGCAAGGCTGGGGCCCACCCGGGGTCGCTGCAACCAACGGAGGGACGGGGGCAGCCCCCGCCCGCCCCTGGGGACCCACAGGGCTGGTTCTGGGGGGGAATAGGGGCCCGCCGTCTCCCTGGTGCACCCCTGACAGATGGCCTGCGAGGAGCAGCGGATGGGGCGCTGTGCTCCTGCTGGCCGCTGGATGAGTGGTGCTGGGTGCAGGATGCTCTCGGGGATGGCTGTCCCCATGTTTGCTGCTGGAAGAGGGGGAGCAGGGGAAAGAGCGCCAGAGCCGAGGCTCCCTTCTGTTGCCTCTGCTGGTTGGGACACTGTAGAGGAATCTGCCAATGCAAGAGGCTCTTCAGCGGGTCTGGAAATAAATAGGTAATTTGGGGAGGGATGGGGGATCCCATCTCAATCAACAGTGAGCGCTGGGGTGTGCGGGATCCCATTCTCAGCTGAAAGCTGCCATGGAGCTTTCTACTGTCTGGCCCAGCTCTGCTGCTAGGCACGAAGGGGGGAGCTAGCTTGCCGTCTCCCCTGGAATGAAGCTGCAGCACCAGATCGGGCGTCATCACCTGAACAGGAAAGGTGCAGCTGAGTACTCAAATCCTTGCCCAGGCATAAAGGGGGCTTCCTAGCAGCTCTTATTTACCAGAGCACTTGTCTGAAGCCTATAAACATTTTTCCTGCCAAGTTTTCCTAAATTGTTGTAAATGCGTTTCTTTCTTGCAAGCCTGCAGTTTCCAAGCTGCTGGTATCACTCCATAGAGTCATAGAGAAGCAGGGCTGGAAGGGACCTCCAGAGGCCATCTCATCCAGTATTTCTCAACCTATGGGTTGCGACCCAAAAATGAGTCACAAGAATATGTGAAAGGATCATGAACAAACTTTAAAAATGGATCAACAAACTTTAAAAACGGATTCTCCTTTAAAGGAGAAAAATGCAGGAAACCATGGCTTTTCCCTTTGCAGGCTGGCAGAGCTCCAGCCTGCATGGAGCTGCTTGGGGCCTCCCATTCCCCATACACTGGGGGCCTGGGGGCAGGGGACAGCGGGTCGAGAGTGAAGGGCACTAGGTCAGGACTGTTCATTAACGCTCACAAATGGGTCCTGGTATAAAAAAGGATAAGAACCACTGACCTAGTCCAATCCCCTACCTGAGGCAGGACCAGCCCTATTCAAATCATCTCATACAGTCCATCATTAATTTTAAACTTCTACAGAAGCCTACCATCAACCCTGATACAACACAGACCTAACACCCTGATCTGCCACAGGTAAAGCAGGGGAATCACAGCAGCCAACATCCTGCTTCTATGAAATTGTTGCCAATATATGCCCAAGAGAACCAGAGTAGAACTCCCCCGCTTCCCACTACAAAGGAAGGCAAAAATCCCCACAGCCCATACCAATGTGACCATGGGGTAAAATTCCTTCCTGACCAAATATGATGATCAGTCTGACCCTGAGTGGAGATCCTCTGGTCAGGAACCTCTAGCTTTAATTCCAGCAGGAGCATTGGCACATCCCAGTCAAAGTCACCATCCTTGGCTGTAGCCAACATCCAATGTCTGAGAGAGGCTTAAAAACACCCTAACACTTGATATTCCTCTGCAATAATCAGGGAGGCTGTCCACACTTTTGTTTTCTTGTTTAAAGGTTTAGTGCTCACTTAAATGTTTGGCTTGCAATATGTCTACTGTTCAACAAACATAAAAAAGGAATTTTGCACATAATTCTGCGGGGATTTTTTTTCCCACAGCCAAGTGATCAAAAATGTCTTCAGCTTAAAAAGTACTAAGTCAAATACTTTATGAAAGCTTTCAGAAGATGTGTGACTACTATTTGTAATGAAGAAGCTTTTTGTGAAAGAAACTATTGCTGTTTCTTTGTAATTTTTTCCAAGTAATGTCAAGAGTGAAATATCTGCATTTATTGGAACCATCAATAAAGAGTTCCCTAAACTTCCAAGCTCCAGGAATGTGCATGTTGTATTTTTAACTTAATGAATCCATTTCAGAAATAGCACAGAGGATGTAATACCATTCTTGTGAATAAAATTCTGGAAGCAATTTCTCTGTTGTGTATGTGTGCATGTATACATTATGTAAATATAAGAATATGTAAACAGAGTGTGAGATTGCAAGCTTCAGATAGTATTTCATCCCCTAGAGTCTCAGCAAGAGCTTTCATTTCATAAGAAACATGCAGTGAAGCCACAAATGACAATGCATATATAGATGTTCAAATAGAAATGAAGCATTGAAGGAAACTAATAGTACAAGTCTGGTTTCAAAATGAGAAAAATATTTAAAATTTCTATCTGAAAGCTGGATGTGTTCAACAAAGATTAGTATGAAGAGACATTTTAATTAATCAAGACAGTTTAATTAATCTTGTGGAAGTACTTAACACAGCAAATATATCCTTGTAGAGCTTTGATAATTACAAAGAAAAGCTACTTACAATTGAATATATTTGAAAGCATGTAACAGTTTAATTCAGTAAAAGGAGGAGGATGATTTTTTTTCTATGACATAGTAGTTTAGAGTTTTCTTTCAGGCCTTTGATCTCTGCCATTAAAAGTTGTGTTCAATTTAGAGTCATGTGAATCTTTTTATCGATTTCAGTAGGCTTTGGATCACACAGCATGAAACTTTTGGAGGAAAATATGTAGGCAAACGTCTGAATATAGATTTAGTAAGGACTTCAGGCTTGGGAATTAAAATGCCAACACACGTTGAATATTTATGGGAGCAAGTCTGTGCACACTTTATTGAATATAAAGTTTACTGTGTGCTCAAGTGCTTTCCTGGCCCTTAGATCCCATACCAGAAGTCCTTCATCTTTGTTCACACAGATGTTCTATTGGCTTCAGTGAAGTTTTACTTGGGTAAGGTCATTCTGGATTGCGCCCTTTTTGCTGAGTTTAAATATTAGTCACTGCTCAGTTCAAGGACTGCTTTTGCTTCATACATTTGTTCAGCAGTTAACATAAAATAATCAAAATGGGAAAGAAACTGCTGCCATTCTTTAGATTTTGTTACTAAGTTAACTCTTTTTTTTCCCCAATAGATTCTGAAAACACTGCAGTTACAGTAACTGCTTTGTTGGCCAGCCTGAATAGTTGTTGCAATCCATGGATCTACATGTTCTTTAGTGGTCACCTCCTGCAAGACTGTATACAAGGCTTCCCTTGCTGTCGAAAAATAAAGCACCCCCTCAATAAAGAAGATTCTAACAGCACCAGAGGAAGACAGACTTCTTTTACCAACAACAGAAGCCCAACCCAGAGTTTGGACACTTCAAAGGATTCACTCAACTTAAAATCCACCAGAACAACTCCCATTCCGACTTGAGCCATTGACCACAGAACAGAAAAGTATCGGCACTCGTGACTATTGCAGCCCTTATGACTCTTAAACAGCATAGCACTTTAAACTGGTCAAAGGCGCTAATAATGTTAACAAGGAGCTTTAAAGGTAACCATAAAATGAAAGGTATTATATTGCTAAATAAACTCTCTTGCACTGCTGTAAAGGAAGGCTATAAATTATTTTTCTGAAAAATATTAATGACATAAAGAAAAGTAGAACTTGTGCACTAGTAGTGTAGGGATACAGATGGGTGCCTGGGGTACAGAGTCAGTCAGAGGATGACTTTTGGTTGCTTCACAATCACCTGGCTGCCAGCAGCAGCTGCTTTTTCAGTCCCCTCATGCTACCAAGTCAGCATCAGGACAGTTGCCCTGTTTGCCTAGCCCTAGTTATGCCAGTGTTAGGCACCTGATCTAGAAGGAATGCCAGTGACCATTATTTTCTAAACAGAGTTAATGTTATCTTTTATTTGTTTCCACAACAACTAGTACTAACATGTTGGCCTAGAAGCAATTTAGATTGCAACATTACTTTAACATAGGAAGAGAAATGTAACCATTCCCGTTGCATTACCTTTCCAAACAGTATTGAATCATAGAAAAGTAGGGTTGGCAGGGACCTCAGGAGGTCATCTAGTCCAACCTCCTGCTCAGAGCAGGACCATCCCCAACTAGATCATCCCAGTCAAGGCTTTGTCTAGCCGGGTCTTAAATATAAACCTCCAGGGATGGAGATTCCACAACTTCTCTGGGTAACCTGTTCCACTATGTTACTACCTTCCTCATGAAAAAGTGTTTTCTAATATCTAACCTAAAATTCTCTTGCTACAACTTGAGATCATTGCTCCTTGTTCCATAATCTGCCACCACAGAGAACAGTCTAGCACCATGCTCTTTGTAAACACCCTTCAGATAGCTGAAGGTTGCTATTAAATCCTCTTTCAGTCTTCTCTTCTCTAGACTAAATAAGCCCAGTTCCCTCAGCCTCACCTCATAAGTCATGTGCCTCAGCCTCCTAACTATTCTTGTTGCCCTCCGCTGGACTCTCCAATAATAACTGAGTGGCTGCAGTTGTTTGTTTTAAGATTCCAGTCCTGCAGTCTGTAGTCATGCAAATCTTCCATTGTGTATGGACCGTAGGCCTGGATTGTGGGGGCAAATCCTGCTTTTATTTATATTGATGGAAGTTTTCCTTTAGTACAATCAGGATAAAACACCTGCTTTTAATGCCTTTGCCACTCTCTATTCTTTAATTAAAAGTCAAAGAAAAAGTGCAGTGGAAAGACCCTCTTGAACCAACACCAGTACAAAAAAACCCCCAGCCTGACTTAAGATCAGAGACTGTTTTTGTTTTTTTTACTGGGATGGGTAGGATCTGACCCCTTAAATGCCACAGTTGTTTCTTCCTTTTGCTGACAGTCCCACTGAGGTCAACTGAATGATACTCCTGACTGATATTTACAGTATTTGTATATTCCAATATGTAAATTCAGTCCTTCTCAAACCTTTTCTGAGAACACACAGGAATTGGAGATGCTCGCTTTTGGCAAATCATAATTAATTTTCTCACTGAATTACAAGTTTCAATAATGGCTATAAATTATTGTTTAACAAAAACATAATTCAGTTAGCTTTTCTGAAATACTCAAAACGTGCCAATATACTACTCTAATGTGCTTCATCAATATTGGTCTTTCTAACATCTAAGTACTTTAAGATAATTACCATGACATTTGGGTTTCAAGGCTCCTTGACTTTTGCTATGTTCCCTGCAACACTGAGGCTGGTAAAACCTTAAAATTATACCTACTACATGATGTTGTCTCTGCTTTTGTCTGGTTCATTCTCATGAGTGCAACAGTTACTGAAGTATGCTGTACTTCTGCTGATAGCATGCAGGACTCTTTCATTTCCATTTTGTTCTTGTGAAAGTGAAAAAGCAGTGGCACATGCCCATAGCAACATGCATCACATGTATACTTATATACCTGTGGTCTGAAAACAAGAGAAGTTTAGCACTATGTTTCCTATTAAATTCCCTAGTCCTCTTTTTAGTGACCCAGACATTTTATTACCATAGTCATTTGGGTAGATAAAATCTTAAGTGTCCACTTTGTGTTTGAACAGGAGCAGAATTGGGCCCAGTGGGCACATCTACATGTCCTATTTTTCAAAGCAATAAATGCTGGTGCATATTGTGCCAGAGTTCATTGTTCCCAGGCACACATGTAAATGCATATATTTTCCTTTTGCAGAATATGTATTAATAAAACAATGGTATTAATGGGAGTTCTCTTTGCATAGAGATAAGAAGTAATTCACAGTGTGTATCTGGATAGATTATACTGGACACATCTACACATGCTATTAATGCACCTGAATAAACTCTGGCTCAGTTCATGATAGAGTTTATTGCTCCTAGGCAGAGCATTTACATGTGCACCCATGACCGCAGCACCTTGTGCCGGGGTAGAGCAGCTCTGACTGCCAGAGGACCCGGGTCAGCCTGCCAGACTGGGGCTGCTCTGACCTGGCTCCATGTGCTATGAAAGGGCTGGCTGGAGGGTGCTACAGGGGGTGTTCCAGTGGGGGGTTAACCAGTAAGCAGCCTCTGCACTGTAGCACCCTTGTGCCCCAGTCAGCCCCATCAGCATCTACACATGTGTTGCTGCAGAGTAAAGAACTTGTATTTACAAGTAGTATCCTTCATTGGAGTTAATTAGTTTACTCCATCCTAATAGCATCGCGTGTGTAGACAGTGCCGTTTTACTGTGGAGCGAATTAGTTGGCTCAGCAATAAGCATTTCATATAGACATGCCCAGGACCTAGTCATACTAAAGGGAATATTGTAAAAAATAGTTGGAACTGCATACAAATTAGAGTTGTATTTTGTCCATATTCTACTCCATATCCATGTCAGTTTAGTATAAAAACTGAAGATACAATGTGGGCTGAAAGGAAGAAGAGATTAATTTTATTTAATTTATACTTTCCAAAGAAAATCATAGTATTTTGGTCTAAAATTATTTTAATTCTGTTCCTTCTTTTTCCAGGAAAACAATCTACTGCACTTATGGGTTCTAAAAGAGCAATTATTTTTTTAAATAAAAAAGAGGACATTGATAAAATGGCTTATATTTAATAAACCAAGCTCCCTTCTGTTCACAGCTGTTATGCGTAAGGTTTCCATGTGATAATGGGTAAATCTGTGTATACCTATGGTTATATTTTTGATTCAAAAGTTATGTATTTTAATTATGGAACCATACATTCATGTATAATATAATTACACATATGTGTGTAATTATGTATGTGTTTATGCATATGTACACACATACACACACAAAATATGCATACCTCACACTGTTTAGATTTTGAGCAAATGCATATTTCACTTTTTAAATGCATAAATTGCAAATGTTTAAAATTGAAATGGTTTCATATTAGGACACTTCTTTCATTCATTTTTATTTTTTGTTATTTATCTTTCCGTATGAAGCATTTATTATATAAGGAACTTGCTGCACTTTCTTTGTTTTGACTAAGTACATTAGCCTGAATTATTTTTTTCTATCATGGTTTACATTAAAAATACAAGGCAGAAAAATAAATTGTTAACGGAAGTAATCTTATTAATGAATAGTGTAAAAATAAAAGCCAACCATGAGTCAAAATGATAATCTTCTAGTTTCTTTTACATACGTTACAACATCTATGATTAGATTTGGAGGATTTCCAGTGCAACTGTATTTCACAAATGCTATGTAGTTCTTGGGACTGTTTTGATAAACCTGCACATAACTGTATTTGAGATTTTAAACTTTTTGTGATTATTTTGCGTCTTGTTTTGTTTTGGAGTTTTTTTGCTTAATTTTCACATAGGAAAAAAGTCCTCATGTTTAAAGTTGTTTTCTGACACAGGTACAAAAATGCTTTTTTCTGGAGTTAATGTTTGGTCAAGATTTTCATCCACTACTGAAAACAGGAAGAAGAAAAAAATAGTTTCAACAAATGATGAAATATTGCTCATTTAAAATGTACAGTATAAACCTGTTCCAATAAACTTCAATTTATTCAATGAAAAATATATTTGTGTTGGCTTTATTTATTTTTTTTAGAAAAAATGTAAAGACTACTAAATAAGTGCTGGGGTCTGTGGAGTCTTGTTAGAAAGAAAAATCTCCATTGGTTTTCATATTTCATAGATTTCATAGATTTCATAGACATTAGGGCTGGAAGGGACCTCGGAAGATCATTGAGTCCAGCCCCCTGCCCAAAGGGCAGGAAGTCAGCTGGGGTCATAGGATCCCAGCAAGATAAGCATCCAGTTTGCTCTTGAAGGTGTTCAATGTAGGCGCTTGAACCACCTTGGGTGGCAGGGTGTTCCAGACCTTGGGGGCTCGGACAGTAAAGAAATTCTTCCTTATGTCCAGCCTGAAACGATCTTGAAGTAGTTTATGACCATTTGACCTAGTCGTCATCCCTTGGGGCGCTCTGGTGAACAAACGTTCCCCCAGATACTGGTGGTCACCCCTGATAAACTTGTAGGTGGCCATCAGATCACCCCTGAGCCTGCGCTTTTCCAGGCTAAAGAGCCCCAGGGCTCTCAGCCTGTCATCGTAGGGTCTGCTTCCCTGACCTCTGATCATGCGCGTGGCTCTTCTCTGGACTCTCTCAAGCTTCTCCACATCCTTTTTGAATTGTGGAGCCCAAAACTGGACGCAGTACTCCAGCTGCGGCCTCACTAAGGCCGAGTACAAGGGGAGAATGACATCCCGGGATTTGCTTGAGAAGCATCTATGGATGCAAGCCAGCATTTTGGTCACTTTACTAGCTGCAGCATCGCACTGCAGGCTCATGTTCATCTTG